TTAAGTTTTTTTTTAAAGCAACAAGAAAAGAATGTGACTTTAGGGCAACATTGTCATAAAAAATGAAATTGTAAAAAATACATTTGTAAAGCACAAAGAATCGTATGCATACTCAGTAAATATTTTAAGTATCCATACATTGAAGCATTTGTACACATCACTGGATACAGGCGTGGATACAGCGAGAAAAAGATGATGTGGTTAATGCATTACCTCTACAAGACTTTTTTTTAACTCAAACAAATATGTTGTTGTCCGATAATCATACTCATGCAACGGTCATGTTTGACTACACATTATCTCATGCAATTTTTTTTTTTTTTTTTTTTTCTATAAATTTTCACAACTACATATTAATTACAAATTTTTTACACTGCAATATTATAAAGAAACTGTACTTCCTAAACAAAAAAAAAAAAAAAAATACATTTTACAAAATACCGTTAAGTATAGGAAGCAATAATTAGGTATGCTATGACTTGATAAGAAGGGATTTGTTGTTGTAGGGAACTCGTAGAAGACTGAGATTAGTCTTATCATCGAGAACCTTGAGGTATTGCGTAAAGCACACATATAAACAATGTGATTCTCATTAAAGAAATGTTTTACATGTTATTATTGCAAACTTTTTTTTTCTTTTCTTTTTAATTGAACTATGTTTTGTGTTAGTGTTGAGGTTTATAATAATAATACTAGCTTTATTTGTTAAACAAAAATTTACATTTTCCATATGTATTTGATTGCTGATTATTTTAATTTGAGCGTAAATTCTGATTTACCATCAGAACTAGAACATTTTTAGGTAATTTTCCATATTAAGAACATGATTTTTGAGTTTCGACTTTAAAGAAGTTATATTGTCTGGGAGAGAAATCGAGGTATAATTCGGAATTAATTTGTTGAATAAATATGGGCCACGATAAGAAATAGAAAATTGAGAACTTTTTTTTTTTTAAGGGGTACAATAAAGTTACCAGTTGCTCTTGTGTTAAATTTGTTGATATTAGATTGAAAGAAGTTTCCTGTGAATCGGTTTGGAACTAATCCTAGTTTGTATTTAAGCATGAACAAAATGTTAGCGTAGATATTAATTTGGTAAATGTTTAGTGCTTTCATTTCTTTTAATAGGGGTTTAGCGTGGGTCAGTTTTTATGATGTATTATTCTAGAAGCATGTTTTTGTCGTCAATAAAGAGATATTAATTTTGTCTTGTGTGTGCTTCCCCAGGCTATGCTGGCATATGTGAGATAACTATGTATAAAGGAAAAGTAAAGAAGTTTTAGGTTTTTTTGCGATAAAAATGGTCTAGCTTTAAAAAGTATACCAATACTTTTAGATATTTTAGTGTTGATGGCATTTATATGAGCTGTCCATAAAACATTATCGTCAATAATCACACCAAGAAATTTAATTGTTTGGGTTCTTTCAATTTTTTTGTAGTCAATACTTAGTGTCGGTAGAATTGATTGTAGTTTGTTCTTCTGTTTCTTTGAGTGAAATGAAATATATTTAGTTTTTTGCGCGTTTAATGATAACTTGTTAGCACTGAACCATGTTTTAAGTTTTTTAAGTTCAAAGGTGACTTTATCAAAGAGGTCATTGATAGTGGTAGATGAATAGAACAGATTGGTATCATCTGCAAACATTATACAATCGAGATTTGTAGAGGCTTTAGGAAGATCGTTAATGTAGATAAGGAATAATAAAGGTGCAAGAATAGATCCCTGGGGGACGGCGCATTTAATTTTTAATAACTCCGTGTTAGTGATACCGTCTATAATAACACATTATTGCCTGTTATTTAAATAATTAGTGAACCATTTATTAGTTTGATTTTTTATACCGTATTTTCTCATTTTTTCGAGCAGAATTTTATGGTTGACAGTATCGAAAGCTTTTGTAAGATCGATAAAAACTCCCAATACAAATTTTCCTTTATCAAATGACGAGCTAATGTTGTCCATTAGGTCTAAGGTTGCATGTTCCGTAGAATGATTAGTTTAAAAGCCGTATTGACATTCACTTAGAATTTTATTGTCTGCTAAATATTTATAAAGGCGGTTGTACATTATTCTTTCCAGGAGTTTGGAAAACACTGGAAGAATTGAGATAGGTCTATAATTGGTTAGCAATGCCGTGTCTCCAGTTTTAAATACAGGTAAAATCTTCGCAATTTTTAATTTGTTCGGAACAACTCCAGTTCTAATTGATGACTTGAAAACATTAAATAAAGGATCTGCTACAATGGATAAAATATCATATTGCTGGAAATGTCATCGATGCCCGGAGCTTTGTTCTTTCTGATTGATTTTTTTGCTTTTTTAAATTCCTCCAATTTTAGGTCACTCTCAGAAAATGAACTAATATGGTCAGTAAAATAGTTATTAAGTGAATTGTTCGAGTTGTTTATCTTGGATGCCAGGTTAGGACCGATATTTACAAAAAAGTTATTAAATTTGTCGGAGATTCCATTTTCCGCAATTCTGGAGGGTAACATTTCGGATTTAGTTTTGGTTTTTCCGATAATATCGTTCATAATTTCCCATGTTTTTTTAATGCTACCATTGTGTTTTTGTAATTGTTTAGAATAATATATTTTTTTTCATTTATTTTTAATTTTTTCAAAAAAGTTTTTGTATTGTTTATAGACAGTAAGATTTTTTTCGTTTTTATTTTTTTAATATTTAATGTATAGTTTTTGTTTTTTCTTTGACGATTTCTTTATTCCGTTAGTTATCCATGGACATTTCAAATATTTAACTTTTATTTCTTTTTCAATAATTGGAAAGTTTTTATTGTAGTGCTCAAGAAAAATATCAATAAATAAATTATAAGTAGAATTTTAAATAAATTATAAGCAGTATTTGTAAGTCCTCGGTTGCATTGTTGATAAACATTTGACTAATTTGTTTTTGATAAAGTTTCTTTAAATTTGTGAATCGAAGATTTGTTAATTTTTCTTTTATATGTTTTAATTTTTGAATTATTTAATGAGGAAGAGTTTTGTGTAAGTGAGAAGAATATTGGAAAGTGGTCTGATATATCAATTTTAAATATTCCTGTTTTTAAAGATATGTCTAATAATGAGTTGGTCAGTATATTATCTATGGCTGTAATTGAGGTTGAAGTGACTCTGGTGGGTTTATTAATTAATGAGAATATACCGAGCTGAAACAAATTATCAAAGATAATTTGTTTCAGAAAAGACGTACAAGAGGTGATCTTATTGCGCTTTACAAAATAACAACTGGAATTGATAAGATCATGTTGTAACTTAAAATCAGAGATGTAGCCAAGACAGTAAAGTCCAAAACCGAGACTGAGATCAAGATATTTGGTCTCAAGCCACCCTTTGTGTTGATATTTTTTTTAAAGATCAAGATAGTAAAAAACAAGACAGCAAAATTACGAGACCAAAATCATGACTCTAAGCTATGAAGACCAAAACCAAAACTGCAAACTTTAAGACCAAAAACAAGACTCTAGGCTTTAAAACCAAAAATACACCGTTAAATCGAGACTTTCTGAGATAAAGACTCGAGATTTACATTTCTGCTTAAAATTGAAAGGGTATTTTGAAAAACAGACAATTTCTTTACGAGTAGGCTGATACCTCATTGAAATGGATATTTACAACCAAGACCGTCTTTATCAATATCCAGCGTAGGCAGCCGCTACGGGGCAAGGCCTTTGAAAAGGCAAGCTGGCAAGGAATCACATTATTTTAATCAATTGAAAAAAAAGAAAGAACTATAAAAAATCATAATATACCCTTTTGATTCTATTATTATAACTTGAGTCATTGATGGTGAAACCTTTGGAAACTTTGTTATTAGTTGATGTCACATAGCGTCTTTGAAAGCTAAACCCACCAGCTGAATATATTTCATGCGCTGATCATTTAAATAAAATGTTTATCTCTCCAAATTGTATAAGTTGTTTATATTCCCAATTTAAATTGAAACTGCACTGTGCACAAGAGAAACCGCCTAGTTTTATGTCGTGGCGCACAAATTAGACATGAATATTCATTTTTATTCATGAATATTTGTATTATAATAATAGAAAAAAGGATTTTTTAAGTACAACTACAAGTCTTAATAAGTAAAAAAAGTCAATAAATAAAACCTATATAAACATTTTAGATGCCCATTAAAATTTATTTTTAGGTAAATGTCAAATAATTTAAACAAGATATAAAGCAATTTTTTTTAACATTTAAATCATTAATATAAATATTATACATAATCAAGCATTTTTCTATTTTTCTGAATGGATGCTCTTCAAACTCCTTTGAATGAGTACCAGTTATTAATTTTAATAATACAAATAGTAACTTGTACTCATTCAGAAAAGTTTAACCAAATTTTTTTTTACTACTTTAAATTCTTTCAAACAATGAAGGTCTAAGCTGAAGAGACTAAGATGAAAAGCTGTATTATAAGACAGAAAGGATTCTGTCTATTCTAAACAATTTGCTGAACAATGTGAAGAGTTTAATTTAAATTTGAACAAACGTGGAGTGGCTTTAAACAATTAGAAGAACACACTTAATAGGTAGATTGACTTTGTAATTAGTTATTAAAATAGTTTAATTTATTATTTAATTTGACAAAAACATTCTTTTCTAATTTTATAAGACAAATGCTCTTGAATTAAAGGGAATCATTTCCGAGCCACAACAAAAATCTAGTGGTCTATCTGGTGCACAGTTACCGGTATTCTTTTTCAAATTTTAAGTGCAAATATTTGGTCTAATAGTAGATAAAAGCGACGTTCAGCTCAAGCCGTTCTTCAAATTGAAAATTTTCTTCTAAAATAAATCAACGTGATATCAATATAATTTATCAAGACATTGACATAGTTTGTTTATTTAATAGTTTTAATATGTTCTAGATGAAAACTGTTTATTCTTTAAAAATGTTAATACTTTTTTTAGTGTACTAAAGTGTTTTAGATATATGAAAGTATAACAACGGGATTGTCCCTCTTTGGATAAACTTATTATAATTATCTACCATACTAATTTGTTGGTTTTTGGTCTAATGCAGTAATATTTATTAGGCTATATAAAAAATTTATGTTAAAATACAATTTATTTGAAGGAGAGGGAGGCTGGAGAGGCCAAAACCATTTTTTTTTTGCTGGGGGGACAGAATAACTCGAAAACGGGTCTGTTTACAACTTGGAATTTCAGCATTTAAGTGGCTAAAATCCATTGATTGCAGGAAGTTCTATGCTTTGAAACATTCGTTTATTTAATCTCTCATCGCTTATGGCAATATGAGAGACTTAGGCAATATAGAAATTTGCACTGAAACGTTATTCATGTTTCCTATACATGTTAGAAAAGTAAAAGTGAATCTTATTAAGTATTTTAGGAATTACTTTTAAAAAACACTTTTTAGAAAATTGGCAATTTTCAATATTGACAATATTACCATAAGCAACGAGAGATTAAACAAGCGAGTGTTTCAAAGCATTGAACTTTTTGCGATCAATGGATTTAAGCCACTTAATTGCTGAATTTTCTAGTTGTAAACAGGTCCCTTTTGTAATTATTCTGGCCCCCTAGCAAAAAAGTTATAGTTTTGTTCTTTCAAGCCTCCCTCTCTTCAAAATTTCAACACAAATTTTTTATATGACCTAATAAATATTACTGCATTAGACCAAAACTTCTTATGACTTCAAGTTTTTAAAAAGTGGAAATTAAGTGTGTGTGTGTGTGTGTGTGTGTGGGGGGGGGATCATCAGCACCGCCCTGAAAACCATTGCGGTGGAGAAAACCCCCAATGGCGCATGATTGATCTAATCGCATCATTTGTGTCAATATATCAGTTTTAATTATCTTTAGAGTTACATATATGGAGGTAAGTTAGTAATTACAACTTAATTAGTAGTCACCAAATCACTGTGTACCAGAGAGACCGCAAGGTTTTTTGTCGTGGCACTTAAATAAAACTTTTTTTATTCTTGAGTATTTTTCTTATAACTATAGAAAAGAGAATTTTTAAAATGCGAACACATTGTTAAAAATGAGTCAAATATGAGGCAAAAGAATAAATATAAGGGGGGCATAAGCCAATTTAAGTATGCTAGTTGTATGTTACAGTAAAAAACTATTATGTTTAAGAGTATTTGTTTTATAAAAATAGAAAATAGCGTTTTTAAAGTTAAAAAAAAATTTTAAGCGTCACAAGGGTAAAATTGAGGAGGTCTAAGCCCATTTAGATATCCATTACAATTTTACCATGTTATTTACAATCACACTTAAAAAATAAATTAAATAAATACTTAAGTGAAAAATTTAAAAATCCAATTTAGTGAAGGATACAGAGGAAAGAGGGGGAGGAGTAGTAATGGATTAGATATCTTTCCTTTCCTTATCTTAACCTAACCCTTCCCTAAGAAATATAAAACGACACAGTTATTTATAAAGTTCTAAAAAAAAAAATTATACTGCACCATTTTATTTTTACGCAAAAAGATTGCTTATATAAAGCATAATTAGAAATTAGCTATAATTATAAGCATATTTATTAGCAAACTTTTAATCTCTGACCATGGCCGAATTAATCCATTTTAGTGCCCAAGTTACAAACCCATATGGGTGCTCCCTTCTGGTGAATCCTCATGGTCTGCATTTTTACGCATTACAATTAGCCCGGAGTTTTTGAAATTATTTATGCGCTTATTTTTTAAGCATTCAAGATTATACCAAACTTGAATGTTAATTTATATCATAATGTATTTCCTAATTTTTACAGCACTTATTAAATTTTTAGTTGTTTTTGGACTTGAATTTGTTCAAAAAATATATTTTTTGAAGAGTTGTGATGCACCCAAACGCTTGGTGCACAAGGCACTAGCCTTATTTGTCTAATGGGTAATCCAGCCTTACTTTTGACCTTTCGAAAAACATTTTTAAATTCTAAATGATCAAATAAATATTTCTTAAACTAATTGTTATTTATTTTACATTCATAGTTTTCAATAAATAATTTGTAAAGTAGAAATATATTATACGGTTATTGTAAATACGTACGATTGGGGCTCGGTGTTAAAACAAAATAATATCTTCTACTTGCCCCGTCAATGTTTTTGTTTATATACTTTTAAATTGTTAATGTTATTAAAAGGCGAAATAAACAAACAAACAAACAAAAACAAAAAAATGAAACATTCAAAATAGTAACTAAGAAATCGCGGATATTTTTTTTTTTCTTTTTTTTTTTTTTTTGTAGTTGGACTACCCCTTCAAGAATAATGACCTTGATCCGCCAATGATTAACTATTTCTCTTCCATTGCATGGAATTTTAACTATTTCTCTTCCATTGCATTGCATTCCATTGCATAAATGCTTTATTTTTCAAAACCACTATAACACCAAAAAATGTTTTAAAGTTTTATTTCTAGTTTTTATATTTTGAATATTTAGGCAACTCTACAGTTTTTATTGATTAAAGACTTTCTGATATAGTGACAATATTTGATATAGTGACAATTTTTTTTTAAATAAACCAAATCAAAGTCAGTGTAAAAAATTGGGTCTTAAGTTTTGTGATTGACAGACGACTTAGGTAGCTACATAGTTTAAAATACGATGGAACTTTTAACACATGGTTTAGCGTTCTTTTAAAGATATGAACACCAACCTGTAATATCGTATTCTGTTAAAGGGCGTATGTGAACTATGTGCGGTTTTTTCTATTGAAAAAATAGGCATTATTATAAACCCCAGAATGCAGCGGCTGCAATTTACTTACGCTTATTTAAGTTAAGTAAGTTTAAAGAAGATATTTAATAAAGTTTAAATCAGTTTGTATCAGTGCTATTTTTAACGAAAGTGCGACTAAACCGCCCTTTAAGTAATAGGGTGGCCTCGTCGTAATTATGAAAATATAAATTATGAAAAGACAAAAATCTAAAACTTTATTCGGCCTAGGGCCCCCGAAGGTGTAAATCCACCATTGATTTGTATCCCGAAGTCACAAAGATTATTCTATTAGTTCTACAGATTTTTTCGATTGATTTTTGATTTGATCATAGAACAGTTTGATATGGTTTGTCTTGCAAAAACAAAGTTTGACGTTATCGATTAAAACACTAATTAAAAATATATATCTATATTGATCCAAGACACAATTAAACGGGTCAGAAACACCATAAGTCAATTTTGGACAAAAGTGAATCAAGCACGCAATTGTGTTATCTAAGGGTACATAAAAGTTCATTTGAAATCAATAAAAGTCAGAACTTTTCAGCTTGCGGATGCTGAAAGGTCTGACATCATTTTATTTCTCAAGGGAACTTGTATTTTTCCTCAGATAACACGATTCTGTCCTAGACTCATTTTCTCCAAAAATGGTGTTTCAGAAATGATCTGTTCAGTTAGCCCTACAATTTAGTGTTGTTTATTTAAAACAAAATTAAATGAACAAACTTTTTATTAAGATATTAACTGTCCTCAAAGCGTTCGAAATCGAAACTGCAATTTAGGCCTCTTTAACCTCTTTATAGAACATTTTTACAATGCCTTTAAACACTAGCTAAAATTTATTCCATATATAAATTAAATTAAATAAAACCCATAAAAATGGAAGTTTATATTGTCTCCCATTTTTGAGTCTTTTTATGCTTTCTCTAATGCAGTTTTTAGACATGTATTAAGATGCTTTTTTATTTCAATAAATAGAACTCTGATAGTTACCATTTTAGCAAATATTTATAGTGGATAGACTCATAATAATTACTATAAAACCGCTTCATTAAACCGACATTAACCTTCATTAAAATTATTAATTAAAAACTATTGAAATTGTAAACCGGTTGCAAACACAAAATAAACATATAATTATGCCACATTTTATAACATAATTAAGTGGACCGCAATTGTGTTCCTCTTGTTGAACACATAATCCATACTGGTTATCAGTTTTCATCACATTCATCCTATATAACTTTCTTGTCAGGTAAGCAATTACCATGCAAATAGCAAATCTTACCTAGCGCTGTCTTTTTTAAAATAAGCCAACGGTAGACTTTTTTTATAATAAGTCAACAGTGTGGACTTTATTCCACACTGTTGCCATATATTTTTTTCAGCACAATTGAAAATGTCAACAATTTCTATTTTCCAATGCGTTTATCCGGTTCAGAGTGACTTCTTTTTGTCTCGTCGGTTTTTTAAAGTTATAATTATTTATATTAAAGACAAACCAGAGAAACTCCGTTCTATAAGAATAAATGAAAAATAAAAAAATAATGCGAACCGATTTTACAAAACGTAATTTGTTTATTGATAATACTGAAATAAAAAGAGCTATAGTTACCAATTTCTTGGGTGTTAACATTAATGAAAATCTCACTTGGAAAAATCATGTTAACATTCTAAACAATAAAATTGCTAGAAGTATAGGAATAAAAGTATACTTAATTAAATTACTCATTTATTCATTGTCATATTAATTATGCTAATACTGCATGGGGTAGTGCAAATAAAAGTATAATGGAACCTCTTTATCGCGCAACAAATATTGCACGTCTTATAAGCTTTAAAGATCATTTTACTCATGCCAGGCTTCTTTTACTTAAAATGAATATTCTTTATGCATTTCAGCTTAATATTTATAATGTTCTTTGGCTTATGTTTAAATGTAAAACTAACACTTCCCCTTATCCTTTTTATAATTTTACACACAAAATAAAAACAAATAAATACTCTCTTCAAAATGAAAATTTTATCCAACAACCTTTTTTGCATACAAATTTTGGTAGATCTTGTATCTCTTATCGAGGTGCTTTTTTATGGAACAAAATAGTTTTGAAATATTTTGATTTTTCTCAAGAGATGAATTACGACACATTCAAAAGCAATTTTAAACAGATAGTTTTATCTTTCGATAACAAACCCTTATATTTTTAATTTTTATAAAGTAAAAGCCTTTAAATTCACTTCATAATATTTACATGAATGTTACTTATCTTTTAAGTTCTTATTTTTACTTTCGACGAAAATATATATATTTAACACAATAAACGCAACGGTTTAGTTGAAAAACAATGCGGTTCTCGACGACAAGACCTTAAGGTCTTCCACGAGATTCCGCGTTCTTTCTCTGACAAACTTAATTAATCTTGTAAACAGTTAATTATATTATCGAAATTATTATAATTGTAAAAAGGTTAATATTGTAAATATATAAAGAAAGGACAAAAAAAAAAAAAAAAGGAAAAAAAAAAAAAAAAAAAATTTTTAATCGATATCCGTTTGATTTGCAATGTAGCGTAATTATTAATTTGTACAAACTTATTATAACATTGTACCGCTTGTTCTTATTATTTATAAAAACTAAACTGTAGATTTAACATTTATAGACTAATAATAAAATGCAAAATAAGAGTTAAATTTTATTTAATTTAATAACAGAAGTTTCAAAATATTTTTTTATCAAATTTCATTTTTGCCAACAACCGAAATTTTCGCTGCATCGGCAAGTGACAAATCGTTCCTACGCTCAAAATTTCCATTTTATAATAATAATAACAACAATAATAATAATAACAATAATAATAATAATAATAATAATAATAATAATAATAATAATAATAATAATAACAATAATAACAATAATAATAATAATAATAATAATATATATATATATATATATATATATATATATATATATATATATATATATATATATATATATATATATATATATATATATATATATATATATATATATATATATATATATATATATATTAGGGTTATGACTTTACTTTTTAAAAAAAAAATAATTTCTGGTTTCATTAATTGATAAACTTTTCCAATTTTATTTCCAAGTTTATTAGAAAACATTGAACACATGTTCAATTCCTCTTGGTTGTAAAAAAGGTCACCCCGCAATTCAAATTACGTTTTGTCATTTATTTAATCTTGTTACTGCTACTACTAATACGTGTGGCTTTTCTGCAAATCATTTAAAACTTGTATAGATTAGAAATTTTTAGAACTTAAGAACATTTTGGAAAATAAAAGAATATATTAAAAGACTTTAGAACATTCTAAAGCAATTTGAAACTTTCTACAACAATTTAGAACATTCTAGAGCAATTTAAAATATTTTGCAATATTTAAGAAAAATTTAAAACATTCTGGAATATTCTAGAAAATTTTAGACTTTATATAGCTGCTCATCTAATTTTATAGTTGTTACAGAAGCAACACATGACGTCGTACAATTCTAGCGATAGTAGCGTTAAGAAGAACAAACATGTCTGAACCAATAATCTGGTAAAATTTGAAGACTTTCATAAAAGAAGAAGAATGGTTCCTTTGAAAGAATATTCACTGGAAGAAAAGTGCAGAATTCCTCTCCAAAAGCAAATTATCGGATGCTACCATTTTCTTGGACCAAAAATCAAAAGAAGAAAGGAACGAATAGCGGAGATTTCCAAAGAAGTCGCCAAATTGTGGAAGAACAAACTGATTTTTCCTCATGTATCTGATCAAGTTATACAAGCAAAGCTTGTTAAATATTAAAATGTTATGATGAATATGTCAAGCGGGGAAGCTACGAACTCCTTGACAAAAATTTTGATATTACTAAAGTGGATAAAACATGGTTATCTTCCGAGAACAAGCGATTGTACCATCTCGAAGTGGAAAGCAATAAAACAGTGAGATACTCTACAGGCCAAGCTCTAAAAGACGAAAATTTTCTAATGAGTTGTCCAACTCATCACCTTACTATCCTGGTTTTAGTGATTCTGACTGAGGCTGACGACAATAAATATAAAAACAATGAAAAAGAAGATGAGACAACTCCTACACCAAGCAGAAAATACCATGAAAGCAAAACTGCAGTCAACTTGGTGACCTCCAAAAGAAGATCAACAAACAAAGCTGCTAATATATGCAGACAGTTGACTTGTTCAGGCATTGATATCCCAAATCCATTTCAATCAGCTATTTACAAGTCAACAATCAAGTAGGCAATTAAACTGAAGGAAGAAATAATTAAAAAGTTGCATAAGGAAAATTGGTCCTTACACTTTGATAGCAAGCACATCGACAGAATGGATTATCAAGTGGTCGTCCTTAAAATTGAAAAAAGAGAAATCAAATTGGATGTCCTTGGCTTGGTAGATGGCAGGGCTTTAACAATTGCTCAAGAAATTTCTAAAGTGCTACCTATGGAATTCAATACAGATGATTGTTGCAGATACCACCAGCGTTAACACTAGAAAAAAGAATGGTGTTGTTGTAATATTGTAGCGAATGTTCACAGAGAAAAGCATCAACAAACCTCAGTTTATCATTTGTCAACACCATGAATCCTCCGTTTGGTGATGGATGAAGAACTTGGAAGTAAAATACTATCGCCAAACATTAAACATACATTTGTATCTCTGTTGAAGGAGTACGAAGAACTGAAAACACAGTTTGATAACGAACAAAAGTAATTCTCAAAACATCAGGCTGGAAAGATGATATGAAATTGTTGTTTCATCTCACTCGAGTGTTCCGATTTTTTGAGGAAAAGAGACAATTTTCATTGATCAGGTTTCAGAAAATACTTAACATCAGCAATGCAAGATGGAACTCCGAGCTATACTAGCGATACTGGGCTTCATTTGAATTCTTTCAACAAGGAAAGTTCTGCAGTATGTTAATTTATATCGTATTTATATCGTATGTAAAATTTATATTGTATGGCTGGGTAGACCATTGGTTTACAGACCAACTGAACAACGAAAACGACTATAATAACTTGACTGAAATACTGAATTCACACAAAAAGGTTTTAAGCTTTTTGAAAAATCGCTGGAAGCGAGAGCCATCCATACTGCAGATACCCAGAAGTAATCAATGCGCAGAGTACGCAATCAAAGAAATGGAGGAAATTTATTCATCATGCAAAAATAAAGACAAATTGTACCTTCGATTCCTTCTGTGCAACAAGCAAGAGCAAGGTCAACGGTCAGAGTCATTGTTGGATTGAAAATTTATTGTATTACATGACTATGAAACTCTAAATACATTTGAATATATAGTAGTAGTTAAGTCGAAAACAATTTTTCAATGGTGGGGTGAACCTTTTTAAAAAGATATGTAAACAATAGTATACATATATATTAGGGCTGTTCAGTATGCTAATTTGTTTTCAGAACATAGCTAATTGAAGTTTTTCCCATTCAACTATCATATTGTGGTTCAAAAATATTTTTTACTAAATTTTATTATTTGCCCTGAAGGTCCCTCAAAGCCCCTAAACATTTGACAGGTCCCTAATATTATTGAAAAAAAATTATTTAAAAATATGTCAACTTGGTACTCAAAAGAAGCAAAATCATTTAAAAATTTCAAAAACAAAAAGTATTTTTTATAAAAATAACAATATTAGGTTTTTTTTAATAAAAACTATGGTTTTTAAACGAAAAATGAAAAAAAGGTAATATTCACAACATTTTTAATAATAAGATTTTTTAAGTTGTTTTTTATAAAAAATGAATCTAATTTTTAAAATTTTTATAAAATTTTACTTCTTTTGAGTACCAAGTTGACATATTTTTAAATAATTTTTTTTTCAATAATATTAGAGACCTGTAAAATATTTAGTGGCTTTGAGGGACCTTTAGGGCAAACAATAAAATTTAGTAAAAAATATTTTTGAACCACAATATGATAGTTGAATGGGAAAAACTTCAATTAGCTATGTTCTGAAAACAAATTAGCATACTGAACAGCCCTAATATATATATATATATATATATATATATATATATATATATATATATATATATATATATATATATATATATATATATATATATATATATATATACATATATCGTAAAGAAAGGGCTTCCAAACGAATATTACGTAAACAACATTATAGTTCAACAAGAATACTAAATCAACAACATTACTATGTAGTAACAGAGTTTTAAATTATTAAAACAAAACATTTTCTTATCAATTATTATCACGCATGCGTACAACTTTGTGAAAAGGTCAATATTCAAAAGCTAATGCGTCAATATTGGCAAATAATATAGTCCAAACAATATTAAAATATCAATATTGGCCAATATGACCATGTTAATAAGGCCTCAATATTGGTATTTTAATATTGGACAAACAAAATAAAAGTAATATCGGCATTTAAAATACGTGCCGTTATTGGTATGCAGGCCCAGCTTGTCTACTAAAGCAAACTTGGCAACTGCCTAAGGCCTTCATTTTTAAGGGCTGCCAATATGACATTAGTAATAAATTTGTTTTTTTCATTTCATAGTTGTAAAATCTTAAGTAGTCAATAGCTTGAATTATATTATTTTAAATATGAACAACATCATATTTTTTATTAAATGTGAGTGGATAAAGTATTGATTCAAAAATAATATTCAATATCAATTATCAATAGGTATATAATTAATTCTGCCAAG